TACGGGTAGTCCACATTAGAGGTTCACGGCGCCATAAGCTCGTTGAACAGGCTTTGTGTGAAATATAACAAAGTCTAGGACTGCTTTTAGTATCCTGGTGGTCCAGCGGTTAGCGTTCCCCGGTCACAGTCATAGGCTTGTGTGCCGTGGGTTCGAATCCTGGCGGGTTGAGGTGTTGATTGTATGTAGAAGTCCGCGTGCTTTATTGAGCTAATGAAATATATATATATATATATATATATATATATATATATATATATATATATATATATATATATATATATATATATATATATATATATATATATATATATATATATATATATGCAAATTGCACAGTAGGTGCGTGATCTAGGTATATGCTGATAACCACAAGGAAAGAAGTTCTCAACGGTTCCAAGCTGTAATTCATCTTCGTAAGAGTACCAGAGAGAGTAATACAAATCAAGGTGTATATATAAGAGGAGGGTGAGACCAGTGTATATATACACCCTGATTTGTATTACTCTCTAGTCTGATCACCCTGAAGATAATTCAAAAGCAACCGTCTTCCTGTGCATACTAGATCAAACTTATATATATATATATATATATATATATATATATATATATATATATATATATATATATATATATATATATATATATATATATATATATATATATATATATACAGTATTACTTAACGCGCTCATTTTAGCGCTTCTGCATATACGCTGTGCCTTGCCAGAGCTGAACTTTCACTTAACACGGATTTTTTCCCACATATATGGGCGAGTGTCCAGCCCTGTGATTGCCAGGCTGAACTTTCACTTAGGATTTTCCACATATATCTGGCGAGTGTCGGCTCGAGATGCTATTTTTAGATTTTGCCCGCTGGCGCCACCCGCCCGCCTGCCTGCCTGTGCTTCGCCTCTCCCTCCTCCTCCCTCCGGCAGGCAAGCCGGCGCGGTAAGGTTGCGCAGTGTGTCTTTGTTGCGCGTTATGCTGACGTCATATGGCGTATCGGACTGTGATTGGCCATGCATCCCTACCCCCCTCTGCTGCTAGCTGTAATTGGCTTAAGTATTAGCGTGACCACCCGGGAGGAGGAGGGAGGAGAGAGACGGCGACTGCTTGGCGGCAGTTTTCATCCTCAAGGCCACCCACGTGTTACTTGGCGCATCCATTGTTCGTAAGAGAAATGGCTTCCGCGGTTCTGCTCCTCGCCCCAGAGAGAGCCTTTCCTTACACCTGGACCCAATGACACTAAGCCAAGAAGGCCAGCGTTCATTAAGCTCTGAGGTGTAAGTACCAAAATTGTTCAAGATTTGGAGAGAAAGGAGAAACTGACAAGTTGATCTGTAGCATGGCGTCAACGAATCTACGATTAAATACGATCAGAAAAGGATGCAGCCAAGATCCAAAGAGCACATGAAAATCACAAAGTCTGCAGGTGCTTCATCTATCAGGTATTGCCCAAGAACAGGGTGCTGGCAAAAGTGGAAAATTTGCTGGCGAGTTATTTGGTGCGTCAGTGCGGCCTTAACATGGCGATTGAACTTAGCGCTCAGGTGCAGAATGCCTTCGCGTGAGCCTATAACGGCAGTGACACGTAAACTGGGAATTGCAGAACCCAAACCCTTCAATGCTTCACTCTGGTTGGCTGCATAGGTTTAAGAAGAACAAGATCCTGTATCAACATTGGTGGTGAGGAAAGCGAGTGCTGACAGTGTGGCTGACTAGAGATTTTCCTCGTTTTTTCACGTGAGATTATGGAGGAAGGACAGTACAGTGACGACCAGGTGTTTAAGCATGGACGAATCTGGTCTTTTCTGGAAAAAGTTACCTTCCAAGACCTTCGTTGTCCAGTCTGCCAGCAAGGTAAAGGGTCGGAAGTTGCAGAAGAACGCATCACCGTCCTGTTTACCACCAATGCACCTCAGTACCTGTAAAGCCAAGTTATCGGTGATTCACAAAGCCCATGGCTTACACGCCTACAAGAGTATGGACATGAACAAGCAATGTCCACTGTTCTTTCCCTTACGTGAGGCGTGGATGTCCTCTTCTCTGTCCTCTTCTGGTTTGACAACTGTTTTGTTCCTGACGTGCAGAAATTCTGAGCAAGATATTCCATTCAATATTTTGTTGCTCCTTGACAAACGCTACCTGGACACTGCTTCCCCTACTTATGGATCGTCACTAGCGTAAAAGTGATCTTCCTTCCTCCCAACACTAGTCAATTAATCCAGCCCATGGACCAGGAGTTGATCTGCAATGTGAAATGCCGTACTCTGCAAAGTTTCGGCTCCTGGGCGACTCTACCAGCACCAGGAGGATGAGGTTCGTAAGCTGGGTGACACCGACAGCGAGAGCAAAAAGCGAGCTTGAGGACAAGGAACAAGAGGCGGTGACTCAAGAACTTCTCGATCAAACAATTTTGGAAGAAGTTTAACGTTAAACAAGCTGTGGGCTTGGTGGAGGCATGGGATCTGCTGACTATTGCTCTGATTCGTCACGCATGGAGACATGTTGCATGGCATACCAGGTGAGAGGAGGAGTGAACCTGTGATGGTCAGGTTTCAGACTATTGCAGTAGCAGTGGACCTTGCCAGAGAAGCTGCAGCTCAATAGCCCACAAGCTGAGAGAAGCTTCTCCGGGAGACCACCAACGAGGAGCATCCTGGGAGGTGATCAAAGATCCTGAAATTGACTACTTGACGAGATGTTGGAAGAGAAGAACACGCCAGTGAAGAGGAGGAAGAAGGGTAAGTCATTCTCCAGAAGAACCTAGTTTAAGTCATAGTGATAAGTGTGTCATAGAGTTTACAGAAAAAAATTAAAGTCCGTCCTTTCCCGCGACAATGACGATGAAAACTGTAGTCTTCCATACCGACTGGTGCAGGCTATGGGCCGTGCATCAAAGGTGTATCCGCGACAACATCAACCAGCCGTCCAGCAAAAGCATAACCCGGTTCTTAGCCAGCAACCCACCACAGCCAGCCCAAGCCACCAGTGATAGTAGAAGTGAAGTTGACTTTGAGGGATTTGTCAGGAAGCCCTGACAACTGTAAGTGACAGTGATGTTGATTCACCTAGTAATGGTGAGATTCACCTGAGGGCCAGTAATCACCCTCTGCCACCGGAACAACCTCCATCCCGTATGCAGGCCATCTCTTCTACTACCGTAGAGGTGTTCCACAAAATTTTTCGTTTTTTAACCTATTCTTTATTTTCTATGTAACCTTGTCTTTCCTAACCTAACCTCTTCTATATTGCTTGTTTTTCTTATTTTTTCCTATGTTAACCTTTATCTTTCCTAACCTAACCTCTTCTATTACTTGTTTTTTTCATATCATGTTGGCCGTGAGGTTTATTGGCATTTAATCCCATATGTTCTGTTGTTCACTTAACGCGATTTCACTTAACCTGGACCTCTGTTCAATTGACCGCTATAACTGTGTGTGTGTGTGTGTATATATATATATATATAATATATATATATAATAGTAGTACCCCGCTTAACGCCGTCAATTGAACCCACAGGTACCGTTAAGTGAAACCAGCAGGAACAACAGAACATATGGGATTAATTCCAATAGAGACTGGCCCAACCCCTAACTCCACTTTTTGACGACACACAACTATGTTGTAGTAAAAAATTTATCTTAACTTTATGATGGTATGCACACACAATTAATAATTAAGAGAAATATTAATAATATTAGGTTTTTAACACTTGCATTAGTAGAAAAAGATGGCTGGGCACACGGGATGAGAGGGGTTGGTTCCGAGGCAGAGGGCAGATTATTGGCCCTCACCTGTATCAATTGTATCACTATCCACCAAGAGGCTTGCAGGCCTCTTTGTCAAACCCTCAAAGGCCATATAAGTCCATATCCTCACTATAATTATCACTATCACTGACTTGGGCTGGTGGGTGGCGGGAAACCTGTAATGTTTTGATGATTGGCGATTCCTGGAGCATTGTGTTCAAGGCCGCCTCCACAGTATATGATGAAAAATTGCTATGAAAGTTCATCTCTGGCGAGGCATCACAGATATGATAAACGCTATGAAAACCGCAATAGGCGGGTATGTATATATATATATATATGTATATATATATATATATATATATATATTATATATATATATATATATATATATATATATATATATATATATATATATATATATATATATATATATATTTTATATATATATATATATATATATATATATATATATATATATATATATATATATATATATATATATATATATATATATATATATATATATATACAGTACTCCCTATAATGTTATCCTATTCATGAAACATAATTTTGTTTACTTCTTCCATCTTTTAAAAAAAAATTGTGAATTACTGTACCTTCACTTCTAAAATGTTTTCATTTTTCAAGACACTACAAATAACAGAAACTTGTAACTCAAAGATGGAATAACACATGCATACCTTTACAGTCCATATACTGTAATGACAAGCTCCATACCTTCATGAATCAAACAATATTTTAAACATTTGGCAACATATTCTGTACAGGCAGGGCTTTAATAAATAAACCGCACAGGCAAATCGCATTTATTTCAAATTTCAATACTGTACATGGAGCTACCATGTAAACCTCACCTGTTGTTGAAGGATCACACAGGGTGTTTTTGAACAATAAACTCCCAAAATTACAATTGTACAAAAAATCCATTTTCAACACTGAAACTGAGACTGGATAAGTCACTCTGCCTTTGTAATGTCACTCAAAACCTGCACCTAATACAGTATCTTGCTCTCTCAATTAAGGATTTTTGTACAACTCTGTTTTTATGGGTTTATTGATTAGAAAAAGGTAGACTAATCTATACTGAGTATATATTACTTGTTTTATAAAACTTTCATATTTATAATATGAAGAGCACTGGGACATACCTCGAATTGTTAGTACAGGTATACTGTATATTGCTTAAATTAAAACTGAAGGATCAACAAATACAAAAATACATATATTTTGGTATGGGTGTATTAATCATAAATTTTACACAATACAGACATAGTGTTTCAGACTAAAGTGTAAATTTTTACTAATTGCAAATACAAATGGCATCATCAAAGTACTGCATAAACATTTTATAACTGAAAATCCAAGTAAATTTCCACTAACCTAGATTACTGTACAAAATTAACACAAGATAACCATACAAGGACTTGAGTACATACCACTAAAGCAAAGATATCATAAACATTCATATAAAATTATTCCTACGACTTGCAGGATCTTCAAGCTATTAACATGACTCTTCACTGCATCCTCAGCAGCTCTGCTGAAATATTTGATCATACAAAAAAGAGGCTGAAATAAAGAGGACTTAAGTTTCTGAACAAAATTTAATAATAATATTTATAAAGAGATCACCACAAAGAGCTTAACCCTGGGAGCAGTAAGTACCATGCAGTACTGTACAATAGAGTACTGTACTTAATTTGACATACCTGGGCCTTGTGGGCCAAACTATTGTAAACACATATTATACTTCAACTGCAACTTAAAATTGGCAGGATTTATGGTTTTTGTGGAAGCATATACCATCTATCTACAAAAGCAGTCTAAAAAAATCTTGCCACCATTACCCCATGCCTCAAACTGTATTGAGATGTCATATAGGAAGGGTATACTCCTCCTATTTTTTAAAAACTAGTTCCTGATGTGTTACTGTATTGGTGTTCCACAATTTCAAATACTGTAATACTATTGCCAAAACTCATTATCCTGGATACAGAAGGAAATTTGAAACTCACTGCTCAATGGGTTGAGAGAGTGGGCTTTCCATGCTTAATTTGTCAAGTGTACAGTACATAAAAATTCTTATCTGCCACAATTAAAAATACATTAGTTGGTGATAATGGTAGTGATATTTAATGGGTATCAAATTTCACGTTGGTTTAAACATTAATGTAATAAACTAATAAACATGTAATATTTACTAATATTGTTTAAAGATGCTTTTGCATTAATACACACTGAGTGGGAACAGAATTTCCCTCATGTCCTCAAGTTTGTTGGTAAGAGTCCAGGGCACCACCAACAGTCTACCCAGATGTGAAAAGGTTCTGTACTAAACTTGAAAAAGTGAAGGCAGCAGAAAGCAGAACGAGCCACACTGCCTCCTTATGAACTGAAGTTTCAATATTCAGTGTGCTGTAACTGCACTAACTTAATAGGCTGTCAACATTTACGGTACATGTACTGTACTGTAAACATTTATCATGTGCCCCCACCCTTGCTTATTTTTGTGATGATCCTTTACCAATATAATTAAATTTGTAATAAAAGACAGGCTTCAAATAATGTACTGTGCGTACTGTTTACTATATGGTCAGGTGTCTATCTACTGGTACAGGTATTATTTTTCAGTTTATAAATTTATTATTACAACACACTAAATATGGCATTCTTCTTTTTGTTTACTAGTAAAGATAAATAAAATTTCAACTGGAACTGTAATTTCACATAACATGGATATAACTGGTACTTAGTATACGAGCCCTATAAATCATATGCAGTACCCAATTTGAATACAAAATGGTAAATAAAACTTTTTTTTTACAGTACAGGTATACAGGTATTCTAACCAAATACAAAAAAATAACAGAATTTGTACTTAGAAATGGCATAAGAGGCAAGCCCACTGCGCACCAAACTAAAACACTTGTTACTTGTTAATAATGCAAACTCAAAATCATCTTATGGTGAAAATAAAGAGAATTCTAATAGTACCTTTAAAATATTAATTAAAAATGATAACTAAAACTGATTACTGTACAGATTTCCCTGATGCTGTGACACAAAACAGGATCTAGATTCAAAGATTCTGTATGTGAATTTTGTCTTCTTACCGGTGTTAATAAAATGCAAACAGTTTTAATGCCATTTCTGGTACAGTATTCTTAAAGTGAGCCACTTAAATGCCATCTAACATATCTAGTTACAGTATGTAGAATATCTAGACCTGTGAGTTATTAAGAACAAGAACTATTAAAACTTACTGTAACCAAGGATGATATTAAAACTGCTGAGAGTACAGTGTATATAACTTACCTTTGTGCTAATTATGTAACAGGTAGAGGATCAAGACAATTGTACTGCACTTTAGAATATCAAGTATTCTAGGGCAACTACCTACCATTTCAAGTAGATGTCTAGGGAAATGTATGTATATTACCAGTCCAAGGCTGAGCACAAAAATATATCAAAATTTCACAATCAAGAAATAAAATTATTATTCACCCACAACCAACACCGTGTAGAGCTCATGAACCAACCATCATACTGCATCTTCCAAAACTGGCCATTAGATACAAATAAAATCCATATAAGATGGCACTGAATATAATGTACACTTAATTTAGCACAATGAAGAACACTCAAGAAACTATGTATCAATATTTTTAAATGGTATTTATTGTATACAACAAATACATCATTACGACAAACCTTTTTCATGCCAAATTTATTGTATCTTCAGCTGAGAAAACATTCAAATTGTCACCTGTCAACTTTCTTGTTCAACAGAAAAACAATTACGATGTACTGTACTTCATTGCATCTGACTGATTAAATTAAATGTCCTCAAGCTGTCATCACCAACATCAGCTATCTCAATCTTCCCATCTTCTTGTAGCTAACTCTCATCACATACAGACTCTGCAACTGCTTCAACTGGTATAAGTACACTGCACCATGATTCACTGTTATTAATGCCACTCTGTCAGTGCATTAGATCTTTTAGCTACATTTCACTATGACACACAACTTAGCAGCAGTTAATGCCTGGAGTAGATCACCCACAGTAATACATGTGTAAAGTAACATTTTTCATTGACTGAAGCATTAACCTCTATATGATCCTCTAATAATGAACATTGACCACAAATCCAACTCCAAATAACACTCAAAGAGTTCAAATGGAAATTCTTGAGTTGGTGGCCTTCACTGACTCCTCACTACCTGGTTACTAAGTTGGCCTTCTTGCATTACCTTCATATATGATCTCATGCTTCACCAGCTGTTCATAAACACACTTATTTTCAATTCTTAAATCTGATACTTCACATATGTTTTCTCAAATACCTGTACATCTTTTTCTTCACTTTTTTTTCCCAAAGTTTGAAAATTTTCTCAAATACATATTTTTCTTCCCTTTTCAAATTTTTAATTTCACCAGCTGTTCAAATTTAATTTTCCCCACCTTTATAATCTTATCCTTCTCCAATGTTCTGAAATACCATTATATTCTTCCAGTTTCCAAGTTTATATATAGTAATTCACCCTCTGTTCACATACTGTATATCCTTTTCAAATCTTACAATTTATTCAAAGTGTTCATAAACACTTTTCCTTTGTGTAACTACACTGTATAGGCATTTCTCTACTTTGTCAACACTTCAGAGAATATGTAGAAAATAAAGCAATGCTATTTTGCAGTCAAATGACACACCCACTTTTGAAGAAAATTTCCAACAAAAAGCTCTTCGGTCAAAGTCAAAATGTGTCACCTTGATGTTATTTTGTGGACTTCAATGAACTAATACACATCTCCATCAGTCTGAACCACAAATGGAAACAAAAATAAAAAAGCATTAATAAGTTTCAGAAAATTTTCAACAAAAGTATACAGTACATTTATTGCTTTATTAGTAATTAACAAAACTAATGTGTCTTTTCACTTATCCCTTATTAAAGTTATTGTCCAGTTACTTTACATTTGTGTAAAATAGTAAAAAAAGAAAAAATTATAAATTTCTATTTAACTCTATTTGAATAAATGAACACAAACACCACTCACTTGTACCACAAATGAATTCCTTAGTATCTTTGTTTCCTGTAGGGGGGTTTCAATGTATGCCTGTCTCGGTGTCCACTTGAAATAGGAGAGCGTCCATGGTCCCGAGGACGTGGAGAGACACTTCCCTTTCCTCTGGTGTGATAAGGATCTTCATCATGCTTTCGGTGCACTTTATCTTGTCTCCCTGAACTTTCATCCCTCTGTAACTGCCACAACTTGAACTCTGTTTCAATGCTTTCCTCTTCCAATTTCTTCAACTTTAGTTCAACCTTTTGTTCTCGAAGACGTAATAGGTGAACTCTCAAATCTTCATCATCTTCTTCTTCTTTGCTTTTTTGGTGTGAATCTCTCTCTGGAGTTCCATCAAAGCCAGTGCATATTTTTGTGTCTGTCCCTGATCTATCACTTTCTGAACGCTTTTCATCCGTCTTACTTCCACTTGGAGGAACAATGGCATCATGTATATTACTTCCTGTCCAACTCCTCCTGGGATTAATACCTTTCTCAGCACTATCACTCTTGTTATAGCTTAGATCTCGTTCATTCCACATCTTATTGTTTAATGGATCAAGTTCATCACGGACCCCAACTTCAGAGTCTATCCTTGTTTTCTCTGGAATTCTTCCTACATTCCTACTAGGGTTACCCCTTCCTTTTGACTGTGAATAACCCTCCGGTGAAACTGGGGAGCAACCTCGATGTAAAGGTGGAGAATTCTGTTGTGATGGGCTTCTCCGAGAATGATGAGAAGTCCTCGGTGAGCCCATGTGAGATCTGTCTCTGGAGAAAGGATTGTGATCGACTGCATATTCCACCACAGACTGTGCTGAAACTGGGGAACAACCTCTTTGAAGGTTGTCTGATGACAACGACCTCCTCCTCCTCCTCATCTGAGGAGATCTTAAGCTTTGTGATCCTCTATGTCCCAAAGAACAAAACTTACTAGGTCTTGGTGACAATGAAACTTCTTCAAATAATGGTGACCTTTCAATCTTTTCTAATCCATAGTGTTTTGAAGACTCATAAGGTCTTGGAGATCTTCCTCTTGCAGAAGGTCCTGGAGATCTTCCTCTTGCAGAAGGTCCTGGAGATCTTCCTCTTGCAGAAGGTCCTGGAGATCTTCCTCTTGCAGAAGGTCCTGGAGATCTTCCTCTTGCAGAAGGTCCAAGAGATCTTCTTCCTGTTGTTGGTCCTGGGGATCTTCCTCTTGTATATGATCCTGGTGATCTTCCCCTAGCTAAATATCTTGGAGACCTTACTCCAGCAGGCTGTTCTGAAGACCTGCCTCTCGATGGAAGCCCTGGAGATCTTCCTCTTGCAGAAGGACCTGGAGATCGTCCTCTTGCAGATGGACCTGGAGATCTTCCTCTTGCAGAAGGACCTGGAGATCTTCCTCTTGCAGAAGGACCTGGAGATCTTGCTCTTGCTGAATGACCTGGAGATCTTGCTCTTGCTGAATGACCTGGAGATCTTGCTCTTGCTGAATGACCTGGAGATCTTGCTCTTGCTGAATGACCTGGAGATCTTCCTCTTGCTGAATGACCTGGAGATCTTCCTCTTGCTGAATGACCAGGCGATCTTCCTCGTCCTGAATGACCTGGAGATCTTCCTCTTGCTACATGACCAGGAGATCTTCCTCTTGCTATATGACCTGGAGATCTTCCTCTTGTAGTATGACCTGGAGATCTTCCTCTTACTGGAGGGCCAGGAGATTTTCCTCTTGTGGATGGTTTTGGAGATCTTCCTCTTGATGACAGACCTGGTGACCTGCCTCTAGTTACTGGACCTGATGACCTCACTAAAGAAGACGGACCTGGAGACCTCCCCCGAGCCTGAGGTCTGGGTGACCTTCTTCGTGCTGATAGTTCTAGGGACTTTTCTCTACTATTTCTGCGTTGTGAATGGATTTCCATTGATCTCCCTCTATGTAGAGATCCTCTCATATCAGATGAATGTGATCTATGCCTTGAAGACTGATTAGGATCTCCCTGGTCAAATGAAGGCCTTGTTAATCTTCCAGTATCTGGGGAATGTTTCCTTGGAAAAGATGAGGTTTTCCAAAATCCTGGGGCATTATTAGGGGAATAATAATCACCACTGGGCTCTGCTTTAAAATCTACATATTGCTCATCACAAACTGGGGTTTTGCTCTGAGGAGGCATTCCATAATCTGTAGGTGTATCTGTGTAATGTTCTGAATATTCTCCACTACCTCCCTGAATAAATGGTGGGGACAATTTTGGCCTTTTAGCTTTCAGGGAATCGGGTTGCATGGAAAACTCGCCATATTCTCGAGAAACAGAATGACCTAATGAGAGGTCATAGCTTCTTTTTTGGGCAGAATTTTGAGTATCTGGTACTTCATAACCCCACTTCCAAGTTGAATCATCCATTCTATCTATATCATGAAAGGTTTGTGACGTGGAGTCTGCATGAATATTTCCTCTGAGTTCCCCAAATCTAGCCACTGATCTCTCTCCAAATGAACCTCCTCCAGAAAATGAGTTGCTAGAGAAATCCCAGTCCACTGTATTATCTGGTCTTGCCATTCTACTTGAGATAGCTGTATTCTGTGTATAGTTGTCATTATGTAGATGGGAATGAGGAGAGCTAAATGGTGTATCATTTTGCTGTTGGCCAACCAATGGTATTCCTTTCTCAACCATAAATGAATCTGTTGGCATATTCATCTTCAACCTCCAAGACCTCAGGTAGTCAAATGCTTTTGAACTTTTACCCCGCTGTTGTGCTCCCCTGCTTATAAAAGCCCTACCCCCTTCCATATTTTGTGGTCCACCTGTCGATGTCAAACTAGGTGCAAGTAGATGACTTGAATTATATCCTCTTGTTGAGCCAAAGTTTTTAGTAGCATTAAACAAAAGGTCCATGCTTTTTTTTATAGGATTATGACTACCTGTTGAGTGGAGAGACATATCAGAAGTATTGGATTTTGGTTCTTCACTAGCTAGTGACGAGTATCCACCCCTTCCTTGTCCAATGTCATCTTGGGGATTCATTCTTGTATTAGGCTGAGAAGGGAGCCCTCTGAATGAAGAATCAATATCAGTAGCAGATCTGTGATTATAATCACAAATATTTTTATTCAATCCAGTTCTTGGTTGGCCCTGCATTCGGGAATCCAAATACAGTCTGAAGTCCCCCTGCATTCTTGAATCTGGTGGCATTCTTATGCCATCTTGTATCCCTGGAGCAGTCTGCATTCTTGACTCTGAATACATTTTTACAACATCCGGCATCCTAGAATTTCCAAGTGTTCCTGAATTTCCTTGTAATCTTGATTCCAGATACAAGCTGCTGTCTCTCTCTCCAGGTAGTCTGGATTCAGGAAACATTCTAGAGTCACCCAACATTCTCATATCCCCTGGTATTCTTGAGTCAGGATACATTCGTGTTTCTCCTTGCATTCTTAATCCTCCATGCTGTCTTGAGTTCCCTGGTATTCTTGAGCCCTCCAACATTCGGAAGTTTCCCTGCATCTCAGAACCTCCGTATATTCGAGAATCCCCCAACATTCTTGAAGCACCTGGCATCCTTGAATCACTAAACATTCTGGAATTTCCCAACATTCTTGTATCCCTCTGCATTTTTGAAGAATCTGTGATTCTAATCCAAAGTTCACTGATATTTTAAGAGAAATTACAGTTCCTCCTATTTAAATGGAAACTTTCAGGTCTACAATGCTGATAATCGAAGCATTAGCTTGCAAATTTCAGGCCATCTTGATGCACTAAGTGCAATATTCATCCCACCATGTGATGAGTTACATTGAGGCCAACCATTTTCTATTTCCTTGGTTGTTAATGCTGTTCTGAAATTACTCACCACAATGTACTCTCAGCACATTAATCATTTTTCTTAAAAATTCCTCGATATTATCCACCTTAACTACTGCAGAAATCATATCATTGACTTTATTTTTGATTTGCTGACAAAATGTTCTCCATCATTCACTTTCATTGTTCAAAAAAAAAGTACTCAATTTTTCCAAGTAAAAAGACAAGGAGTTCTATGGTTCTATAAAGCACAAGTTCACTAGAATTTGCAGTGGTCCAGTCACAAGTGCTTACTCAAGTCTTCATGTTTTGCCAAAGATTAGTCTGCTCAAAGCCTCAAACCTGTGCGACCTGCAAGAAAGTGATGGGCGAGTATAAGGCAAGATATCAATATCACCAGAGCCAAGTACACTGACGAACCAAGTATAAAAACCCATCCCAATACAGTATTCCTCTTTGAAAACACAACATTGTATAATAGCCTTTACCTAACATTTATTTATGGCATAAGGAAGACTTCTGTATATTTTTGCTGCAGGGGGCTATCTTATTAAACCTAGTTAGATTACATTATAGTCTACTTTTTCTTTTCAGTCTGATATAACTCCTACAACGGAATATAACTTGAGTGATATTTCCCAGTCTTTAGCATGAAAATCTAACGTGCACAAAACTAGAAGTAAACTTCTCAAAGGGGAAACTATTAAAAAAATATAAATAAAAAATAGCTGTACTGTACTGTATTATATATATAGTAGTGCAAGTACTGTACTGTACAGTAGCAGCCCCTATACAGTACCTGTATTACCAAACTGCGAGGGGAGAACCCTACAAATTTAACATAATAGATGGAGGAAACAAGTAAACTGAAAGTTCTTGACTTAAGTTCAACCTTCAGCTGTCCAGCTGCCTTTTCTCACAGAACAGGTACACAATGTTGTAGGAGTCAGAGTGTGGTCCCTGTCCTCTACAGACTTTTTCTTTAATGGCCGCCTGGCTTTGCTCATGTGCCCATGGCCAAAAGATATGAATGTTTGAGGGTTATATTCAGTAATGTTGAGGTTTTAAATTCCACAAATACTACCAGTTTTGTTCTGATTGGTAGGCTCCCTTTTTCCTTAGACAGAACAGAGAACCACTTTTATCTTTGATTAAACTGATTCTCATTAGATATCCCACATAGTTTAAACAAAAGGTGCATAAAGCAAAGGGTGATTTGAACAAAACAGCTTCCAATAGTTTTGCCTTAGACTTTTCATTTGAATCACCACTATCATCACCAACATCATAAATCCAACCATCATTTATGACATAAAACTCATTCATTTGTATTCTTACATAACAAGTATGCAAACTACAGTATCAATGAGTTGTTTGGGTGTTATCCTCTGTTGACATGCAACAAAGTCATTACAAGACATAACTGGACATACAAAGACGACAAGCTTGAGTCGTGTCCAGAGGAGTGAAGAAACTCAGTGTAAGGCATCTGAATGTTCATCTAAGAAATGTCAATGTCTGCTGTTGCAGATGAAATGTCTTCTTCAATGTTAAAGAATCTGATCCAGAAATACATGAAAATAAAAATTAAACAAGACAAATATCAAACCAATGACTGATATCTGATAAAGACGACAGTGATAATTCAAATTACAAGGACAAGGTAAATCTTTAACTTATAATTTTATTTAAGCCGCACAGTTTTTTAAGACGCAACGTATCTATGAATCTCACTGGAGCTTTTTCAATAAATTAACTCTCAGAGGAAAAAGTTATTTCCTGTACAGGAAAAGAGGAATAATAATAATAATAATAATAATAATAATAAAACAGTAAGACTCGTGACAAGCTGAACTTCAATGAATATGAGCCTAAATCACTAGTAGCTATAGTTTAGCCATGGCTACAGTATAAAGGTCAGTGGGAAGAAAAGCACTTGCAGAGGATAAACTGTGCTCTGACACCACACCACATACCTCTTCTAAGAGTTAACGAGGAGTACTATCTGAGGAAATCATCGACCTGCTGCATATCCAAATTGTGCCTCTTTGGCTGCTGTACTATTGCCTCTGTGTTCTTAAATAAACCTATATCTACAGTATATCACCATCCTACAACCAGTACTAAAGGAATCTAAGAGAACACGATGCTGAAGCTGGTACCCCAACCACAAAATGGCACATGGCAATTTTTTTTACACAATGAAAAGATGACACAACACGTACTGTACAGTTATACCTGTAGTTTCATCACAGAAAATTTTGCCATTAGTGAAGGTGATGCAGTATCACCAAAATATTATAAGTTGAATTCTGGGAAAAATAAATAAAAAATCCTGATCAATGAATTCAGCCATATTAATTTTTACCTAAGATTGTATGCCCCTTCACATTTTGTTGTAAAAAGCCCTTCTCATTTCTTGAATAACCAAACTTCACTAATACAGTATGGACAGGGGCACTGAGTGTTCCCTTCAATTCTTTGTGACAAAGGTGTTACAAATATTCCACACTATGCTGGCTATAAACTCCAAAAAGTGAGTACCAGCAGTTACACTTGGTACAGTAGAATACTGTACAGTACATGAAAGATAACAAATGGATATACTGCATTGTAAAGTAATATATAAATGCAAACTGTCAAGTTCAAGAATCAGCATTTTCTGATATGAACTAAAGCTACAGCATTACCAATAGACTTTGTGGTGGTGTAGCATGGGACTAGCCAACTTTTAGTACTGTAATTAAGATGATTGCTCAATAATTATTGGGAGTTTTCAGCTCGGCTATTAAATTAATTTTCTCCATATTACATACAGGTACTGTACTACTGTATAAAAATTTCCTTTACTGCCACATTCACTATTGATAATATATGTACAGTACAGGTACTACATTTCTCAGGCTATTAAACTCCTTTAAGTGCACAATTTGTGACTATTTTTTAATAGATGCTGCATTTAGGTATGAAAACCAGTACAGTACAGTACAGTAAATTAAACAAAAAATCTATTTAATAATTTGGAGGTCATGAACTTGCTGATTCTATAATGGATATTAATTTTCTGCAGGTACTGTACTGTATAAAACTACTGCACAGTATTGTGAAAATCATGTGGCATAATAACCACTAAGGTTTAAAAACATAATCTCTGATTATATAAAGAATTTAAAATTTGAAGAAAATCATAAGTGATAAGCAGAGGGCATCTGTTGAGCTGACTTCCACATCTATATACTGTACTGTACCAACCAAAATAAGTGCCTTCTTTTGTAATGCTACTATCTTCATAGAGTTATGACTTCTAAAATTACAGTAATGGTAGTAAGCAATGTCTGTATTTCTCAAATGCTGACGACACCTGTAATGTTTTGATTGCAAGTGATTACAGCATGAATCATTATTCTTTACAAATTAGAGGAAACAAAATAATTTGGGATTATACGCCCAAATATGCGTCAAGGACTGTCAGTGTGAGGTATCAATTATACTTAGCTAGAAGCCACAATTTTCATTAAATTGAGCCATTTGAGATCCTAAATGACTACTCTACAACAGAAAAAAAATTATAAGTTCAACAGTGATTTGTTTACTACAAATAAGCACATTTTAAGATGTACATACACTGTATATGTTTTGCATCATTTTCATTATTCATCTTGCTGTGGTGTTTCAGCCCTACTCAACAAACACTGTATAACCAAGGTGCCATACTTGCATACATTTCTCCACAGAATAAAACTGTAATAAGTTATGTGAGAAAGCGGATAACGTCTATGTCAGTCCTGAGTAAGACTTTTGTCTCCAACTTTTTCTCAAGTTTCAGAACACACATACTGATTAATTTCCCTTTGAAGAAAAACTCCAAAGCAATTACAGTGCACGTATGCAAATGTATCACACAAGTGTCCAAAACGATCAAGTGTACAGTATTCGGATACGAAGCTAAAGCATACGGCCCAACACAGTTTCTACTAGTTAATCATTTGTAAAACATGGGTATTTTTTCTTCAGAGAACCTGGATATTTTTTCTTCAAAGAACCTGGGTTCACACTTCACCAAAGAGGAGGGCCACTACAAATTCTTCAAGCACAATTACAGGTATTTATTGTATTTCCACGCAATTCAGCTACACAACTCAAGGTAAAACACTTGAATCAAGTTTGTAATTCTTCTCTGATGTTAACTGGATCATGCACAGACTAACAGTCACACAAAGTTAAGATTCCTGGTTGCTTTCAGTTTTTAAATATATTTCAAGCACTATAATTTTTCTTTTCGGTGGCATTATATGAGATTTTTCTTAACTTGTTGATACTTCAATAACACCGTAAAATATACAACTGTTCTTGTACATTTCAAAATTCCACTTGAATTATTTACACACTCAAATCAACAGTTATAGCTGTAGTAGTAGTAGTAAATACCAAATATTGTAAACATTAAAACTGCTGAGTACCGTACACACACACTATTTCAGTTGTTGCACAGGAAGAGTAAACACAAGATGCTCAATATTATCGGATACTGTTCCACATGGAGATAGAATCCTTAGCACAATCCAAGTACAGGCATGCTTCAAGAACTTGCACCAACACCCCAGAACAAAAAAGTATATGGTGAACAAACAAAGTTTGAACAGCATATTGCTTCATTCTTAATGACCTCCTTAAAGTCTTGCCTTTCATATTTCACCTAGTATCTCTGCTAAAAAGCAAACCATCTTGTATGGTTCTACAGATAAGGGTGTCCATGTGAATTCATCTGGCAGATAATGATGGTCTTGCTGATGTACCCCATAACAGGTGGTGAAAGTTACATGATACAGTTCAGGAACACCAGGATACTTCCAAAAAACATAAATCACAAGCTTAATAATGTTCTTCTACATGGAAGTTTTCAAAGGTACTGTACTGTACATGATACACTATGTACGTCCTGTACAAAAAAGGCTAGTAACAGTGATGAAGTGCAGTAGCACCAACTGTTGTCTTTATAAAAAATTAACTGAAAACCAGTTTCTTGTTGAGACTACCCTTTAAATTAGTAGAAGGAAACTTGTAACACAAACCAAGATATCCAACTGTGTACTGTAGAGGGTATGTCATTCTTAAAAAATTTCAAATACAGAAGCTGGATTTTCAGAGATGTGTTCACCTTTTTCACAGCCTGGGTCAAATTCTTTTGACCATTCTGTAACATCTTTCACTCTCATAACCTTCATAATATAAAGGGATATTCTAACTAGTTTTCACAAGTTTTATAGTTCAGGTCGTATCCTCCTCAATATCTTTGGATGATCCTCTTCTTCTCCTTCATGAAACACAAATCCAAGTGCATCCAACAGATT